TCCTTCCCTCCTTCCCTCCTTCCTATGCCTGGTTTAATTTTTTCAGACTCCTATGGCAATATCACAGTGCTTTTGAAGTGAAATAATTTTTTCCCTCTTTAAGCTGAAGACCATTTTGTTTGATCTTGAATTTCAGTACCAATCATGSCTTTAAGACCTGTCATCTGGTATTTCAGCATCAGTTGTAGTTGCTAGGTTTTGGATTTCAGCTTTTATAACCAGGGCTCAGGAAAGATTTGTTGATGTAAAGATGCTACCATAGACATTTATGTGGAGTCATTTTTTAAGGACTTCTAAAAAAATTTCCATTAAATGGTATTTTCTGGAAGATCCAGCTAAATACTTAAGAACTGTAAATATTGGGACAGTTCTGAGGTATTAAAATATGATAATCCAGCCAGCCTTTATGTAAACTCCAAAACTAAGTGAATAAGGAAAAGGAAATACTGGGGTTTTTTTTGCCATATCCTGCACTGAACTCCTGTGCTGACACGGTGCCCACACTCACTGAGGGGCTGAGGCAGCTGGATTATTTAAACTGCCATAATTTAATGATGTGACAGAGGTTTTGTTACTCTGAAAGCCCCTGCACAGGGGAATGGTGGCCCTATCAGAGCAGCTGAGCTGTGCTAAAGGAGAAAAGACAGCAATGGAAGGGGAAAACCACWGCAGCTGCACGGAATCTGTTTGGAAGTACCCTGAAAGGTTCATTCCATTTGTCCAGCTCTCCGTTGCTTTGTCATAAACAGGAAATGAAACATGGTTAATTCTGAGAACTTGAATATGTTTGCACAGAACATTTTGCTCAGTAGCTCACATCTACGGTGAATGTTTCATTTCATGAATGATTCACTGGAGGCCCTCCCCGCTCAGCACAGCTCAGCTTTGTTCTTTTCTATATTTCAGACAAATATATCTGTCTATATAGCTGGTGATACATATTCATCGATGGCAAAGTCACAAGGAAATGACTTCACAAAATGTACAACTCCTTGTACCTGGCTGGTACATTCTCTGTATAAAAATACAAATTTCAGTACTCAATGCAATGTGTACATCCAGATTTGGAAACACACGTGGCTTCTGWCAGACAAACCTGTTAGCTGGGATCTAGAATCAACCTTTCTCCATTTGGAACCTCACATTTAAACTTCTTAAAACTTCCAGGATTAGGTCCACACAWGTAAAAGAGCCCTGTGTTCAAGGTTTGTAGATGGCCATGAAGTTTAAGGGAAGTTATCTGCTTTGGGATACCTGAATTGCTGCAGTTTCACCTCCTCCAGCCTTCCACAAGGGCAGAAATCACTTCACCCCCATAACAGACAGAACCAGACTCTCTTAAGTGATTGTAACATCTTGCAAAATGTCTTTGGATTCACTTTTGGCTTGGTGATTTCAGTAACAGATAAGCCCTTCATCCTTAAGGGAATCCCAGTCACCAGATGATTCTGCTCTAGAGATCCCTCAGTATTATTGGCAGAGGYTCCCTTAAAGTGTTCTGCAATGAAGCAGCTAACTGGATTCTTCACTTTTTAATTTTAGTTAATATTTAGAAGGAGAGAAAAGCAAATATGCACAAAGTTGAATTCAATTATTTCCCCTTCACTCGTCAGGACATTTTTGTGAAACGCATTTCCYGTCTCAGCACGAGCTGCTCGATCCAAATGGAATATTATACCTACAAGGATGGTTTATACATTTTGTCTTTTTATGTGTGAATCACTATTATGTAAAAGGAAATGGAATCTGTTTGTAGGATTCATGTCAGGACGACTGAAAAACTATTTTTTAGGTTGTAGGTGGCAGGACAGRGAGCAGTGGCTTTGTCCCTCTGCCACCAGGCTCATAAGCAAGCAGTGGAAGTGGTGTGTGAAGGGTTTAAGTTCTCTGAGCCACTCTCTAATCTGCAATAACACAGCTAAATAATGACATTTGCTGTTAAATCTGAAGTATATTTTTAATTGAAGAGGGATGTGCTTTCGTCACGATGYAAAGAAAATTAAAGCTCATTTCTAGAAGCTGCCAAACACGCTGACCCTGATAAAGAACTTGCTTTATTTTAAGCCAGTGAAAGAGCCACTGAAATGAAGAGATTACTCAGAGATGACATGCCTGAAGTTAAAATGTTCTCACTGGTCTTTCTGGATGGGAGTCAGGACATTTATCCTGTGGGATCTAATTGTTAAATCCTGAGGACTGCACTTCACTTTTAATCTTTAAACTTAGCTCAGATTACATGATCTAAAAGCAGCCAAATTGTGGTTATTAGTGCAACTAAAATACCTTTCAAAAGCTTACACTAACTGGGTTCAGCTATCTCTGAAGCTGCTATTTGGGAAACAGAAACATTTCTCTTTTGCATAGAATTACTGTTCTGATTGAAAACAGACGGAAATTACATTTACAAACATTAAAAATCTTTTTATAGTCTCGGAATTATGTAAGAGGCCTCATCAGAAATGGGAATTTGGCTTCGTGTTCATCATATGGTAGCAAAAAAAGCCCGAAGTTTGTCAACTTTGCAAGACCCAGTATTTTCAACTATTACTAATTCTCTATCAATTACAGCATGTGCACAGTTAAATGCTAAAGGTGTTTTTAYTGCTCTGTATGAATTCTGAAACAGAATTTGGTAGTCAACAGAAAAATCATCCATCAGTACAGAGAAAAAACAACAGATGCTGGGCTATTTTTGTTGTTTAAACCCATATAAAATTCAATTTTGCTTGGAATCAGGTCTTTAGATTTGTCTGTGAAACAGCAACACAAAGATTCTGAAATGCTTTTTTTCTTTTAAGAGCATGTTTTTCAGTATCAGGAGATTAATCATAGGGAAATTACGCTTAATGGTTGGCTATTAAAAATGAGCAGGAAAGTTGCAAAACTGGATATTACCTTTGTGTTTACAATTTTTGAAGTGCAGAGACTGAGATGAAAAATCTCACAGGATTTCTTTTAAGCACAGTCAGATGCTGACCTGTTCCATTAGCAGCTCATTCCTAAATGGAGCCAGAATCCATGGAGCTCAGATAAGAKGATGGGACCAATAAGCTGTTTCATGAGGTGTTATGTAATTTTTGGTACTAAACAGATGGGTTTCATTATCTAAGGAAAGTAAAAAAATTACTTTTCATTCTACTGTAGACTCAATTTTGGTTTATGACCTGTGCATAACATTCAAAATAGGATCTATATAAATGGAAGATAACAAGTACTCGTCTTTTTTAGTCCGAAAATCACGTCTCCTATGGTATAGAAATACATTCCTTGGCAAGTCTTCACTTTCTATACTAAAAATGATTATGTGGTCTTGTTTTAGACAGTTAAACAGCTGCCATACTCACTGCCAGCTATGAATATAGACTTGGCTCCAGAGGCAAATCATATCTCCAAAATTAAATGCGAGCATAGATCCGATCATTCCTCTCTAGCTGCTTGTTGTGAACCATCATTTTTCAACTCTGAGATTAAAACATTGAGACCTCATCTTCATTTGCATGGTGGCTGCTGATTTCAAGCAGTGAATTGCATTGACCTAGAAGAAACACGCTCTTCAGAGATGTGCTCCATCAAAAATACATGGGAGCAATTTCCAAGGGAATTTTCGCAGARTGACTGTGCCTGCTGCCATTGATGCTTTTTGGCAGATCTGCTGCAGTCTGCAGAGTGCTTCAGTCCCTCTTGGTCCTGTGTCATTGTCCTCCTCAAGCAACTGCACATCAGCCCCATTGTCACTGCGGCACATCTGATCTCTGCAGGATTMTTGTTTGGGGTGGGATGCAAGGGAGGACAGCAGGGACATTTCAAACTGCTCAGATCTGCACGTTCTTCACTGAGTTTCATAATGCAAAGAATAGGCCTTTTCTGCTTGGGACTAATTCAGCTGGATATCAAAGGTCTGGTACAGGATGTGTTCTGATAAGGGGAGGAATGCATTTCAAAAGGAATCATCTGCAAAAGAAAGCGTCTGGCAATCTAGACACAGAGGCTGCTGTCTGCTTCCCCTCTGAGCAAACGCCTTTGAAATATTACTGACCAGCAAGATTTAATACAAAAATAAAACTGTTTTGATTCCTATCCAGGCTCTTCTAAAGCCTCTCACATTCCCTTCCTCAGCAGTTGCCTCTTACCTCCGATTCCTTGTAATAGCGCTCGGGAATTTCATCGCTGGCGATRTCAATGAAGCAGACTTCTCGCTCCAGATCTTTAGCTTCCTTGTCAAAAATCTGCAAGAGTTAAAGAAATTCAAGGCTGTTACAGARCAACACCCTCACGAAATCCACCTGGAGTAACTGTTACAAGCAGTTTCAATGACTTTGTGCAACAGAATGTATTTTAGGCTTGTGCCTGAACAGCTTTGTGTGAGATACTCGAGTTTTTGCAGGAACACGTCGCATTCTCAACCCTACTGCACACATCGTGTTCAGCACTTCCCGCTCCCACTGCTGTTCTGGATTTTTTGGAATGGAGACTTTGATTACAAACAGTAAAATCCACAATTTGAATTGCTTTTATTGTATTCTCCAATCTTTGCACTGGAGTCCATCCCTGTGTGAAAAACCCAACTCTCTGGATTTGGGGCGTTTCCACCCTTTTCACTCTAAGGACTACAGCAATGTGCAGGTGTTTGCTGGGAACACTCAGTCTAAGTTATTTTTATACTGAGAATCAGCATTTTGGTTGAACTGCCTCAGTGGGAGCTGGAAGCTTCCCTGATCCATCCGTGCACACATTTCAACCCTTTAGGATCTGCTTTGGAACACCAATTCTCCTGTTCTATGCAAGGGAATGGGATGGGGATATTTAGAAAATCCAGGTCATTTGCAGCTGCAGCGCAGTATCCTTCTGTKCCTGTGCCCATAATTGAATTATTTAGGCATCTCAGTGACCCATGTGACTTACACTGTGTCTGCAATACATTTTCCTCCTGATTCTTTTGGAAACAGCACCGAGTTAAAAGGCTACCATGAATTAGTGCCATGAAATGTAGGGAAGTTGTGCATCCACTGTCAGGATCAGTAACAAGCACACAATGTGCTGTTTCCTTTGGGGCACAATGTTCTATAGCTGACATTTCCAGGAAGCAAAAATATTTTTGTTTTCTTTCTTTCTTTCAGTGTTTTTTTTTTTTTTAAATAAATGCAGTGAATGCTCTGTTGATTCAATTTGATTCTACAGGAACGGTTACAAAATGCCAGCAACTCTTTAGTAACAGAAATGCTACTTCATTATTTCTGAAAGCATTGGGGCTGCCCATTTAAAGCATTCAAAAAGAGCAATGGACTCCAGTGAACACAGGAGGCAGCTGGTGAGAAGAACGTTGCTCAGGAAATCATCCTTCAAATCCAGGAAAAGCTGAAGTTTGACTCYACAATTTTAACTTGCCTTGGTAGTGAATAAAAGAGGCAACACTGAAAGCTCACTGAGCTGGATGTAACATGTTCACACATCTGAAACTGCACAACGACTGAGAAACTCCAGCCTGGTTTTATTTGTATTATTATCCTTCTCCAATCAATGTTTTGCAAAAAATTATGTTGATCATTTGAGCAAATTGGAGCTGGGCAGTCCTTCCCTGTAGTGCTCCTTCTCTGAATTGGGTACATTGATGTAAATCACTTCTGTGTTTATGTATATAATATAGGTCGCCTTTTATAAGCTTCCTCGCTYGCTTTGTTCCTAAACAAATCCAGAAATACAGAACAGCCCCTGATGAAATCAGTTGAATTATTTCTGGAACAAGATGCTTTTCACCATAATCTCCATTAAATAACKGAGATTGCTCTTAAATGGACATTACCAGGTCAGCTGAGGCTCTGAATCTGTCCATGGTTTAGGTACAAACCCCATAAATTCAAGCACATGTAAATCTCTGCCCATTTGCATTTAGGGACCTAAATGGAGATTATTACTCAGTATCKTATCCAAAGAAATGTGCCCTGCTGTGTCCCAGGCTTGATCCACATATTTCACCTCATTTGAAAATAGTTCTAAATTCCTTTTCTCTCTTTAAAATGCTGCAATGGGAGTGGGGATGACAGATGCCTTTGCCAATCTGTCAAAACCAGGAGGAATTTTTCAACCATTTCAACGATGCCTTATTTGCTGCCGAGGCTGTYTCTGACCATTTCCTCCATTCCAGAAGTTTGCTGAATGACATTCTCACTTCCCTTTGCCAGCAGAACTTGTTGTCTCATCATTTATGCTTCTCCCTTTCTCAGATTGTCCTCACAAGATTTGCAGCTAGAGATTTAATCTTCTCATTCTATCAGCAGTCGAAAATAAGAAGTCATTAGAGAACCAGACTGATTTCTTTCTTAGCTCTAATTCTCTTATTGCCTGTCCTAGCCACAGAATCTTGGATTGTCTGAAACCCTGTAGGGAAGATGGGTTTATTGTGGCTGGGATCAAAGAGACTRGAGAAATTTAAAAGTTTTAAAGGAAAAGATTAAAGGCCACAAAAAGAAGCATAAGGCTCCCAATCTGTGCAACTGTGTTTGCAAATGTGCAGAAACTGAATGGTGAGAACAATCTGTATCCTTAAGAAGATGATGTAGAAAGACAGAATATTAAATATTCTGTTGGAAAGAACTGGACAGGCTTGTAGAAGCCAAGTAATTAATTAAGATTAAAATACACAATCAAATGGAAAACAAAGAGCAACATTCAGATTGGTGTGGCCGCTTTGCTGTGGGTTTTGGTTTTATTTTTGGGGGGGTAACGTGACAGCTTTTTTACAATGAACAATTATGTACTTCCCCTTCTCAAGAGGAATGAAAATTCAGCGTGATTTAGACTACATCACCCACAGAATGACAGAAAGTGAGAGAAAGGTTTCAGCCGGGTCTTATTTATGGCTGTCAGTGGTTTCTTCTGGTGAAAATTCAAATAACCAACCAAACAAAAAACTCTAAACTGAAACAAAAAAACCCTCCCAAACCAACCAACTAACCAAAAAACCAACCAACCAAACAAGCCCCAAACCAAAACAAAAAAAAATACAAAACCAAAGCAATCAAACGAATCAACCAACAAAAAAAAAAAACCAGCACACAAAAACCACCCTTGGCAGATGATTGCAGAACCTCAGGAAATAGAGCCCATACAGAGTAYCCACTGCAGAAATGTAACTCCTGGTGTACTTAAATTTCCTTTTTTCCCCCATGCCCTACAAGGACGTGTCCTGGCACATCCTTTGCTGGTGACTTCCCTTTTTCTGGCACCTCAGCCAAAACAGCAAGTCAGGTAAGGAGATGATGGGAAATTTAACAACCTCTTTTCTACAAGCTTTTATTTTCCATTCCCTGCTCCTTTTTTTTTTTTATTTTATTTTATTTTATTTTTTTTTATTTTCAGGCTAAGTTGCTGGGTTCAGTTTTGTTCAGATGTAGCTCATCTAAAATTTAATTTTTATGGCCAATCTCCACATCGAGCCTGGACTGGGTATCAACAGTACAAATCCAGATTCTGCTGAATGCATCRATTCCATCCACAGTGGCAAATTCCTCACTCATCTGCACCACCAGGGCTCTGAGGTCACATCTGTGCCTCTGGCCTGGCTTTGTTTCATAATAGATGATTCTCTCTTGTGATGTTTTTTTTTTTTCCATCTTCAAGAGCAAAGCAGCCATCCAAGGGATTATCAGCTGCAAAGGTGTTTGGCTCTGTCATTCTACAAAAACCTTTTTTTTTTCCCACTCTAGACACAAAGAGTTTGTGGTCAGAAGGCTGAACTGAGACAGCTAACTCATGGTAGGATTGTAATTGTGGTAAGAASTGCAGAAATAATAATTTATTTCATTAAAAAAAAGGCACAAAATATCCTCTCCACCTTGAAATTCTCATCTCTACAGATCCAAGGCCAGAACCACTGGCTGCTCCCGGTGTGGTGCTACACACCTTGAGCAGTTGTGTCACCTGATCCCCTGGAGATCTCATTTTTCTRAAGGAAAATTTCATCAAAAACAAGGGAACTTCAACTCAGAACTCCATCCATGGAGTTAATTCAGTGTGTAACTTTTSAGTAAGTCATGCTCCAACCTTGGTTACTTCTAAATTCCCTTCATTTCCTTTYGAGATTTATTTGGGCAGAGATTACAGCAATTGACCATTTTCAAACCTGCTCACTGGCTGAAACTACTTATGTGGACACACACAATTGGGAGCAATTTTTCTAAGGAAAAAGGTTGAATCTCACTGTGAGAACAGAAAATTCTGCCCCCTAAACTGGATGGGAATATCCCTGAGTGCCACAGAGTGGAAGAGGCAGTCACTTATTTATCTGCAGCCTTGCTCCCTGCTCATTTTGGTGTCATGACTCCCCTATTATTCCATCCCTTATAAAATATCTCATTAAGATTTGTACTTTCTGGACAGAGAAATGGATTTTTATGTAATTCTGTCAAAGCAGCTAAGCTTCCAAGACTGTAATAGCCTATCTGTAATATTTACTGGGATTCGTTTTTTTTTTAAGGCACATCCAGTTCAAGTGCCAGATTTACTGACTAACTTCAGTTTCATTTAGAAAAATCAAAAAGTGGAAGCACCACCAGAGCACTTGTTCACACTCTGTCACATTGTGGGCTTTGTCACATGTTCTGTGATGGCCATGTGTGCCYGGSCCATACAATCTGGTTCAACAAAGASAGATCTCCCYTCAGGAGGAATTTCAGSATAACCTTTCCACTKGTTTGCCTTTATCTTTTGAGACTTCTCAGAGGGGGAAAAATCAGAAAATCATGATTTTTTTTTATTGCAAATTATGGGATACTCAATACCATCACATGGGAAAAGTCCAGGTGCAAATAAATCACCCTAAAAGTGTYCCTCACTCTGCCATATTCTGAGTGATGCCCAGAAATGCTTTTGACAGTTTCCAGAATGAGATCCTGTGGTGCAGTGAGGCTAAACCAGGGCACAGCTGAAGCCTTTTCAACTGAAATCAGTGTTTCATTGCAGTCGCCTTAAATAGTGAATTTACATTTAATTTCCATATGCTATATGCAGGTTTGTTACAACCTAGTTCCACGTTACTGAGCCAGGAGACAAAAATAGAGAAAAAAAAACCCACCCTAAACTCAACCAAACTAAAAATGGATTTTCTTGTTAGCTGCCATACCTAAAATTTATTTTACTTTAGTTTAATAATCAAGATTCAGCCACTGAGTTTTCCAGAGAAAAATGTTATGCTACAAAGAGCAAGGAACTGGAAGTTTTACAGTGAATTTTCATTATTGACAACCTCTGAATTATTTGACAAGCTGTACTTTCTTGCTGTCCCCAGACAYCATCAGATGGCAAAAAAAAAATCACTGTCCAAATACCAGCAGCAATTAATTCCATGACTAAAAAACAAAACAAAACAAAGCAACAGAAATCAGTCAAACATAACGATCCTTCTGCAACAAATWAGAAAATTGGATGTCTGTGTGATTCAGTGATTTGCTTGAGCTGTGCCTGTCCCCACTCTGCCTTTCCAGTTATTTTTCCCCAGTGTCAGAGGGTGACATGCAGGGACAGCCTGGCTGGGTTTTGGTGACAGCATCCCCTGGAGCCATCTGGTGCAGCCTCTGAACCAACACCCTTGGTTGTGATGCACAGTTGGAAAAGRAAAAAACCCAAAATGTGTGTCTGCAGTGAAACAGGAAGGAAAAGAAATGGGAGAAAAGGGAGAGCAGGAAAGCAGTTAGAGTAAATCAGCTCTGTGTGACATAAATACTGACCAACCTGTGGATTGTTGGATGAAAACACCTGTCCAAATGTAAAAAAAAAAGCTTAAGGAAGTCCTCTCATGGAAAGCACACACCCCATCCATTGACACACAAGCAGTAAATCACACCCTCCTGCCTGGGGTTTTACCATTTCATTCAGCAGAAGGCCGTAAGATTTCTCCTGGATGTACCTGATGTTTTTAATATTCAAAATACAGAATTTGTGTATCTATATTCAAATTCCTAAAGTGCTGTTTTGGCTTATGGGAGAAGTGTGTGATTGCTGTGCCCTTTTACACTGGCTGTTCTCACTGTTGGCTGTAGGATCCCATCCTTTCCTCTTCTTTCCTGACCAAAGGATGCTCAGGATGCAAAGGGGAACAATATTCTCATGCATTATACAGACGTCTCCTCCTGTGCCATTTACATTTCACAAAACATTTCTAATTTTTAGAAATTCCATTTCCTAATTTAAAATAAAAGTAAAATCAAAATAAAATTTCTCTTTGAGGAGCTGAATTTTTAAAAGACCCACAAGAGGAAACACTTTCTGACCTGAGTCACTGGTGCAGTTTCTGGCAGTGTTAATGAAGCTGTAAAGCTGCAAGGTAGCAGGGACAATATTTGATGTACTAACACATTCATCCAACACTGGCTCTGTTTTTCTAAGGATAGAGTTGCCATGGAACATCTACATGGGATACATCRAAATCAGCTGCTCTGAGTGCTGAAATCACAGCTGAATGGATTTATGGTTCTGCACTACCACACAAGGTTACCTAAATRAAGACATTTATTGTCCATTGTTCTTTCTGTCAGTGTTGGTGTTTGTGAAAATCAAGTGCAAGCTTTAACAGACTGGAACAAGAGTGCTTTAATACGTTTAAAAAAGGTTAAAATGATAATGAAGTCTAAGACATAGAAAAATCAGAGCAGTTATCATCATCTTTCACTAGCATCACGTGTATCTTCCATCTATGCCAACTGGGAAGAAAAATCAGGAGGAATTTTATATCAAGATATACTGCAGTAATTGGGCAGAATTACACCAGACAGTGCAACATTTTAAACACAATAATTCTAATGATATATCAGCCTGCTAAATGACAACAGGAACCCAAGACCATTTATATTGCTTTCTTCCATYGATCAGCTGAATTAGTTTTAGTATCCTTATATCTAATTATTGCTTTTCACAATCAATATCTACTTTATCAGACAGTTTGGAAATGAAGAATAGCTCAGAGTGCAAAGATTTTTAAAAAAGCTGTATGAACTAAAAAAACATATCAAGAAATAGCTGAGTTAAAATCAGACTTGCATTATCGCCCTCATTACTCAAACATTAATATTCATTCAGTCTATTTTGCATTACAACTGCAAAATTTACAGAAGTTCTTTTTTGGATTAATTATTTCTTCATCAGGCAAGGTTGACAGTCGCAATGAAGGAAAATATAGWGTATTTATGGAAATCTATAGGAATGGATGCTGTGCTTCCTGGTGTTTTATAACCAGACAGTGACATTTAATCTGAACTCRTCTGACACAAAGCAGAAATAAACTTTGCAAGTTTTTAAGTGAAGTTTAAGCCTGCCCATTGAGTGATGGAAATGAGGTTGACTCCCAGTCCTAATTCCAAGGTGTTTGGATTAACAGAAGTCTCTCCACTTTAAGGAACCTTCCAGCATTTCAGTGCTGTACCAGCCATGTCTGTGGTCCCCGATCAAGGTCACGGCAGCACAAAAATGAAGATTTTCCACTGGTTTATTGTGCTCACACCGGTGAATAGCACAGCTCTCAGAATTACAAAAACAGGGGAATTAGGGCTGGAGTGCAACCCTCTAATTCAGGCTCTTTCTCCTCCTCAGTTCAAGTAAGGGTCAGTGAAATCTCTTAATCTAGGTAAACACTGGCTTAGTCTGTGACTCAGGTGCTGCAATGGAAAGGTAATGTGATATTACCCCCCTGGCACTCTGGTAAAAATGACTTTGGAAGAGCTGGATTCAAGCAGAATAGAGTTTCTTTGATTTACATCACTGGAGTGTCCCACCTCTGAGCCACTTTCATCTTCCTTTCCTGGCTGGATACTGTTCAGCACTTGATTCACTGAATTTGAGCCACAAACTGACACACAGAAAAAATTCACTGTGTTTAAATAGCTTCAGTTCTTCCCCTGTCAGACAGCAGCCCAGATCATGTCTGCTCACTGCTGACATTATAATGCACCAGAAAACTGTCTGCAGTCTCCCAAAACCAAAGGTGTGGGCTTGCTCTGAATTCAAGTGCTGCCAAAAAGCAGAAGTGAACATTAAAAAGTGCATAAATTACACAATGCTCATCTAGCTGGTAATGTAATACATGGCTTTTTAACTCACTCACTGATCTGGCTTAGAGCAGCAGTGACTGAGAGGGGCTGGATCTGGTGGTTAATAGCTGATCTCTGTCATGTTCCCAGTGGGGAAGTGTCTGCATGCCAAAAGCGTTTTTCCAAATTCCACCTTGTTCTTGTACATGTAATTACTGTGCCATCAGCAGTGCAACAGCTGTCAGCCCTGTGAGCAGGCAGGCCCAGGGGCTGGGGAAATGCATCTCCTACCTGCAGAACAGAACACCTTCCTCTCACCAAATCTGCTGGAGGGACACCCAGGACACCCCTAACATCTGCCTGACTGCCTTTGTCCTTCTCAACAATCAGTTCAAACACCCCTTCATCGGGTSTCTGCATTACAGATTGAATTTCCAAACATTTAAACTTTATTTCATGCCTGCAAGAAACTTCTTCCCATAAGTCTGAAGCCAGCGCTTACCAAAATGAAACAGGRAGAAATATATTTGTGTATGAACCCAAGGGTTCAATCCTTACATGCTGGGTTTTATTGAAAGTTTTGTTGGGTTTTTTTTGGTTTTGTTTTTTTTTTTTTGCAAGGTGTATGACTTTGCTTTGTTGTCTGTCTGCACAATAAAGTCTGAGCCTTCTGCTCCTGAGCCTCTCTGAACAGCAGCTGCTGGCTACTCAGTTCCACCCTTCCTCTGGAGAGGATTTTACATAATTAATCGTCCTTCTCATCTCTAAGCTCTCTGAAAACTATCTAACTTCGGGTAAGGGACTGCCAAAAGCATCACCTCAGTGCACAGCCATTGTTCCCCTGGAGCTGTTTACTGAGATGTCTCATCTCTGACCATTGTTTAGTTTCCTGTTTGTTCTTCCTGACACCTCCTTGGAATTCAATCCCCTTTATTCAGAGAGGATAATGTGAAACATATAAAGTGGAACATGATTACACACAAAAAAAAAAAAAAAAAAAAAAGAGAGTAAACTTTTTTTTTTTACTTTCCATAGGTGTTCATCAGGACTAAATCCACATATGTAAATGATGTTGTGTTTAGAGAAAGCACAAATAGAATAGGAGAGGCAGAAAGGAAGGTGTGCACATGGATCTTCCAGCTCCTGGTGCTTCTGAGGTAACTCCTCTGCAGCTGCTCATGCCCAGGACACCCAGGTTTTTCCCCAAACAGAGAGATCTACAGGCCCCAGGCACAGACTGTGATTAACTAAGGATTAAATCAAATTTTGCACAAGGTGTCATACTTACACTGTCATTGCTTCCTTTGTTGTCCTCATATTTTGTCTCTATATGAATGGAGAATTTAGGCAAAAACGAACACTGCAACAAAGGAAAAGTATGTTTAACACAAAAAATACATTTTGGTTCATCAGCTGACATATTCATCACATCCCTTTTGGTATCAGCTTTCTGATTTTTGKCAGATTACTTCAAGGAAAAAGACTAAATGTTCACAGAATGCAAACCTGAAAGGTTTGATGATTCTGGAGGGATGCAGATTCTATCTAAAAGCTGAAAAATATGATGAAGGTATAAATAAATCAGGGTGAGAACTCTGGATTAAGTAGATGCAATGGTTTTCATGCTCATTATGCCCAGGAGTAAGAATGTCCTCAATATCTTGTTAGAAATTCAATTCAGTAAGATCTTGAGAGCAACTTGACATCCCTCATCATAGGCCAGTCTACCCCTCATATAAAATAACCCAAGGACACTTCACCAGCTGCAGGTCCTGACCAAGCACACAGCAATGCTTTCATGTGTGAGGGCTTTATCCTTCATTTTCAGTGAGAAATGAAGTTTGGCATCATTTCCTATTAATGAAATTAAGATGGATGATGAGCCCCAGTGAAAATTCCTTAATACTAAATCCAAATAAATCTTTAGCTAATAATACAAACAAAAAAGCACCAATGTTTTTCTGATAAAGGTAATATTTCTGCATTTACATGGAAACAAATTTATTTTTCTGAGGATTGCTTTGCTTAGCTGGCTTACGGAGACAGAATTTATAATACTAGGCAACAATTCCATCAGAATAAATATTTCAAATWTATRTTTTATTTAGCATTTCACAGYCCTTCTTTCAAAGCAAGTTTTCAGACAGGCAGMTAGAGCAGCTGTCCAACCAGCTCGAAAGGACACCAGTTCAGCATCTTTACTATTAGTCACCAGGACTTTTCTTGCATTAACTGCCAGTTCCGTGTCTGATGCATCACTAATCCCCCATGGCAAATGACTCTCTAATGGGCTGAACCTCAGGTTATACAATGAGGATGTTTGGATGTTCACTCTGCTTTTGGTCCAAGTTCAGGCTTGAAACTTCGTAGAGTTCTCCTAAGGGAGGGGCTGATGAGTAAGGGAAGAGGGGATTTAGGAGGCCAGGTATAGGGACACAACTTAAAGGAGAGCCAGCTCCTTGGAGACTGCAGCAAATACATTGTTCTTTCCATGGATATCATTGTTCGATCTTCTCCTCATCACAGCATATCCAGTACTCAATAAGCACATCTACAATCAATGCCTTTTTCCCCAAAATACCGTTCTGGTGCCATGGAAGGCAAACCCCCTTCGTGCTGTTGATCTGAAGCACAGCTGCAGTTTCAGAGGAAATTATGAATAAAGCCAAAAGCCAGATCTTCCTTTAACCTTGATATTAAAGAAATAGCCTCTGTTTTCAATCACTGTCCAGAGGTTGCCAGCAATGAGCCAGGTCATGACACTGAAATGTCACCGTTCCATGTATTGAACGTRGGCTGCCTGGAGCAGCTTAACAAGCCACTGCTTGACTCTAGTYGTTGATTCCTGTGACCCAGAATCTGAATTCTAATTAAAACAAGAGTTCTAGCCTTCTCTTTCAAAAAAAAGGAACATTAAGAAAAGGCCAAGGATCCTTAGAATAGCTTAGAAGAATGGTAAGTGCCGTTTACCTCAAGCCACCTCATTAGAGAGCTTTCTGTAAAGCCACCCACAGTCAGCCTCCCTGTGTGTGTTTAGCATGAAGGAGAGAACTGGAACAACCTAATTTGAGATTATAAATGGTAACATGGGTTTACCCCAAACCAAGACTCAAATTCACCAGAAAGCCCTCCACCGCAAAAATCTCTCTCAGAAACTCAACTGACTGGCAGTCACTGCTCCAGCAGCTGTGGGGGGTCTCGCTGCTTTACAGGAACACTGAGCGGGGTCCAAAATTTCCAACATTTCACAGAATGTGTCTCATGATTCATCAGCTGCACTCTGACTAATTGGCAGAGGCCTCTGGCACAACCAGAAAACTGTTTATGCATCATTCAAAAGACTATTATTCATCGTGCAAAAAGTTGGGTTTTTTCCCCTCAAGTGGCGGGAGTATTTACTTAACTGGGGATTGAAATTGTTATGCAACAGTCAGAACCAAACTGGGGAGTGAATAGCAGGTAATAAACCTTTTAGCAGATTTTTTTTTTCTTCTGAGCACCACTCCCTTTCTGCTGTGCCTCCTCTGGGGCCCGTGYTCTTCCAGCAATGACCTGGAGGCGATCGATCACACAGGAATGCACAGGGCACCATTTCCAGCTCTCCATTTCACTGCCTCTACAGCTTGCAAGGTTCCTCTTGGGAATAAAATAGTGGCAAATTCAATCTTTCACTTGAAATYAAACTGAACTTCTGCAGAATAACACAAAATCTTCAGAGTCACAGTGTTTTCTGTGATAAGGTTTCTTTGTGTAAAGCTCTCAAAGGAGGCGTCATATATATTATCACCTCCAGATTTTTTAGACATCTTATAAACTCCTTTAGAAATTTTTACACTCCAGCCCACCTGTGCACTCAAAAACAAGCGAGGGGAGTATTCCAGGTTCTTTCTTTGCTTCCCTAAACTTGCTACATTTGGCACCTGAATTTTGGAAGAGCCAGGAGAGGTTTTGGACTCCAGAGTGCCCTAAACACAATACCAGGAGTCCGTGCAGTAATTACCAGTGAGCAGAGGGATTTCCACCTTCCAAGGCAATGAAAGCAGCAGAAGGAAAGCACAGCCCCGCAGTTGCATTTGCAATTCCCCACATCCAACCTCTTGAAAAGCGAAAAGCCTATTTTTAGCTCTATGATTGATTAGTGTTGCCATAGCAATAAGCAACACTCGCAAGAACAGGGTAGAACCCAAGTGTGCCAAAACACTTGCCAAAGTCTTAAAGAGACAGTCAAACACACACCGAGTGTGACAATGGTTTTATGGAGAGGACTGTTAAATTAACCTTTGTATAGCAATTACACCCGAGGATTACAGGAGTTATCAGCAAATATGTTGGTCTGAGAGAGGTTTCTTCACCCTCTGGATCCTGCTTTGTGTGAGTGGTGCCAGTTCATCAATACTGCTGCAGGTGGTTTCATTTTCCACGTGGTTTCTGCCTGCGGAATGTTCAAAGAGCTGCTGGAGACCTCATCCTTGCTCTTCACCTCTCCTGCTCCTTGTGAATATTAATCCACAATCCTTGGCAGTTATTTCTCTACAGTAAAAATTAATCCCACTTTTTTTTTTTTTTCTTTAAGCAGCAGAAGCATATTCCCCTAAATCTTAACATAAAAGCCCAGCAAGGCAGACATTTCATGTAAATGTTTTCTCTCATCTTCCACCACTTCTCAGACTGATGATTTTTATTTTAATATGGTCACATTTGCATTATTTTGACAACACAGGTGGAACTGGATCCTTTCGAGAGCGATCTACAGACAAAGAACACAGTGACTGCTGCAATGAGATGAGAGTGATCAAGCAAAAAATGAAATCTTTTTATAGGGTAACTTCCAGATATCACATCCCTTGAAATCAAAATTTTTAGCCACTATTTTAATACTCATGGGGTAACAAGACCATTCCTTTATTGAGGATCAAAAACATGGGAGAGAGAAATGGAGTCCCAACTTTGCTGTAACAGACAAAGGGAATGTGGGACTGTGGAGTGATTGAAGCTGGAATATTCAATGTTTTTTGGGAAATGGACACCAAATTTACTGACTCCCCTCAGATGCTCCAGCCAGCTCTGCCTGTGAGCCCCCAGCATCCATCAGAGAKGGAAGAGAATGGACGGAAAGGGCTGGGCAGGGTGATGGCAGGAYTTGGAAGATGTGACTCAGTGAGAGGGAGGAGAATTTGGAAAGGGAGATAAGATCAGGAAGGTGGCAAACAGCAAAACAAAAGCGCTGTTGAGCGGAAAGGRAAAGAACAATGCAAAAACAGGGCTTGAAAACAAACAAGGGAGCAAAACTCTAATAAAGAAGCAGAGGAAGAAAAGCACTGTTTGTGTTATGTACAATAAGCAGAAGATGGAACGATGAGTAACAAGTTGCCTCCAAGCACCATAAAACTCTTATCTCTGGCTCTGCCTTCCCCTGGGAGCTCTTTCTTTGATACATGGGAGCAGTAACCTGCTTATTGAGGAGGAAGGGCAGTGAAAAGCAGCGTGCACAAGTGGAAATGACAGTCCCATCTATCAGAGAGGGGGTGGATTGCTTTGGAATAAGCCAATCTGGAAAAAGGGAATTCTCCCAAGCACTTTGAGTTACTCGTTTCAGTGGGATTAAGCTATTAAATGAGAATACAGGCTTGCAGCTCTCTAAAAATATATTATTTGGTTTTTATAAATGCTACAGAGGTTGTTCCTTTKGCTAGAACCTCTAAGGGAAACAAATCTGTGTTTTTCTATAATGATGACAGCAGTTAACCTGTTTTCTGATTTGGGGGGTGAGATGGGAGGATCCTGGTAGTAACTTTGTATTAGCCTCTACTCCTGCAGTACAGATTCCATCAACTTTTGATGCAGATTCTTCATATCCTCAAGCTGCAGAAAAGTTTCTGCACTGAAAAGTGAAGGGTTGCATCCAMATTTCAAGGGCTGATATTCAGATAAAGAGAACACAGGAAAAAACTCTACAGCAATCTTTATCTGCAACAACTGTTTTCCTTCTCAAGTCATCTCATTATAAAAATAACAATACAAAAAACATTCCTTCCAGATAATTTACTTCATGAGTAAACCAGCAGCTAAGTGAAGCACAAAACATGCCTGTTCTCAAAAGTAATCAGAAACCAGCAGGTCAGTAATGGACCATTTAGCAACTCTCACTCTGGGGCCTTGACACATACCAGATGACATAATTTTATTTTCCTCAGTCATTTGCTGTAGAAGAATAAATGTCATTGTGATAAATCATCAAAGGAATTGTTGTCTCCTGYTTTCTGTTCCATAAATGTTTTTCATAAATATTCTGAATTTATATGCTCTTCATAAGTTAATTGGAGACATTGGCATGTTGAAGGAATGCTCCTCCTCCTTGCACAGAGCAAACAATGCCATTTTAGTGTTTGTTTTGCTTATATAATTGTGAAACTAACAATTGTCCATAAATTAT